ATCAAGACATCACTCTTGGCTCGTCACATCTTCCGTGATTGATGCCTACGTTTGTGTATTTCTGACTGTCATACGCCGTCCGTGCAGTACGAGAGCCGTCGGGAGTGGGGTCACCATTTGGAAGATACACACTCGTTAAAATACGGGCCAGAGAATGAGTCGATCTGTCCGTTGTGCCAGGATGAAATTCGGCCAGCGACAAACTTTGAGAGGCATGTTGGGAGACATTTGGAAGAGTTGTTTCTTTTTGTGCTACCACGAGCGGATTCAGAAGATAACGACTCAGAAGTATCATCGGCAATGACGAGGGAGCTAGTTCGCTTTCTTAGTAGTATGACTATCAATCTTGGACCCCGTCCTGGGTTGGCTGGCGCTATAAATTCGGGCGACCCTGAGGAGGAAGTGCCAGACGATGCCACAGGGGAAAATCACTTAGGTTCGATGATTGCACGCGCTGAAGTAGAAGGGCTGGAGGAGCCCACTTTTGAAGAACAGGAGGAACAAGAGACGGGGGAGGCCGGAGAAGCTCAATATTCCTTTCTCGATGCACCTACACGGGCGGCAATGACAGCAATGTTAGAAGCGTTGGCAAAAAGGAAATCAGCTCCAGACGTGGCACACATAACATTCGATGACGCATCTGGAAGGCTGTACTGGCTGTACTGGGAGTTTTGCAAAACATGGACGGTGGTTTCTTTTTATTTTTTATATATGTCTGACACTTCCCAATGAAGTCCAATTCTCACTTTTTTTTGGCTGATTCTAGAACATGGAAAGCTTCATACGCAGGCGATTCAATGACGATGACGATTTAAGATCGCCTGTTGCGGAAGGCCATTACGACATGATTGGGCCTGATGGCAGCATTTATCGACCCTCAAGACTGGGACAGCGTGATCCAACCTGGTTGGACAATAATAATGCGCATGCGGCCGATACCAGAGGAACCGAAGACACCGCCTCCAACTAATGTCATTGAGGAATAAAAGAAGCCGGCAGGTGCGTCTATATCCTAGCAATCATACTGAAATATATACAGAACTGACTCGAGGCGAAAGGTTTTTTTGTTTGTGCTTCATTTTTATTCA